AGACACTCGGTTGCACATTACAGTTATAAATAACTCAATATTGTACAGCATTTTACCTTCGCTTGTTTCTTATCTTTCCGTGTGTAAAGCAGTGCACAAGTGTCCCAAAAGAGGGTGCTGTTGGTACCACCGCAATCCTGGCATGTTTGTCCTGCCGGGGACACCGTAGTGCGGGGGATTTTTTTGTGCGCGAACTGCTGTATTCCTTACAGTGTGTTTACTGCCTGTAAGGTAAGCAGCAGCTCCCCTAGCCCGGTGTAAAAATGAACATTATATATATTTCTATTGGTTCAGATTGCCAGTTAGGCACAGATTACATTTTCTTTCTGGTGATTGATTGGTTTGTGACGTTTGATCGTTTTGTGATGCTTGATTGTTTTGTAAAACAGAAAAAAAGCGGTTGAATGCTGACAGTGTGTTTACTGCCTGTAAGGTGGACGAAATAAACGCGCCAAGGTCTCCCCACAACCACGATCGCTGTGTCCGATTCCTCTTTTCTGCACGGATCACATCCCACCTTCACGCACAAATAAAACACAACGCAGAGTCCATAGGGTGTCTTCCATCAGCGGCTTCGATTGTTTCTCATTTTGCTGTTGCATCTGAGTTTCCCCCGTTGCGAGATAATAAAACATGTTCCTATTATCATAAAATGGCTAGATATCAGTTCTCTAATCAAATTATGAATCAGTAATTGTAGAATGAGCAATAAACCTGAAGAAAACGAGTGGTATTTTATCCATGGCTGTATACATGCATAGGTCTAAAACTTACAAGTAATTACATTTTGTCTTTAATTTACACTATTCCAGTTATTTATAATTCTGTATGGTTGGATGGTAAAAAAAAGTGTTTGCATGTATATATAAAGTAACATGTCTGTTTTAAATAATTCCTTATGTGTATGTAACTTCCACATTAGTAACTGTTATTTATCTACATTTATGTGCTATAAGCTATAACATCTGATTACTTTTCCCAGGGAGCAGAAGGAGAGCAACATGGCTGACATGATGGAGATGAGGAGAACCATCAGAACAACAGGATCTCCTTCAGGAGGAACCAGCTACCAGCTGAGATGGCAGAGCTCCATGGAGAATTGAGACAAACAAAAGAAAAATAAAAGTTGTTGTGTCTCAGTGAACAAAGTCTCTATTTCTGCTCACTCCACACATTATTGTACTTACTGTAGTTTATATGGCATTAAGGTCCTCCTAATACAATCCTCCCAAAATGTGAGGAGCTTTAGCCAGAGTGAAAATAACATTACATAAATATTTCATTGAACTTAACATTGTAGATTACCAATGAAAGTATCCAAAACTGAATACATTATTCAGCAAACCAAACATTTTGGCATTATTATCAGGGTTTCTATTAACAAGAACCCAAAATACAAATCATGTTAGTTAGTTTCTATTTATACATCATCATTCTATCCACTCACTGTTTCTGTCTTCCTGCAGAATCTTCAATGTAAGAAAGGGAGAAAATGTGTCCAAAACCTGTAACCTTAATTAGTGATAAATAAGACTGAGTTTAAACTTTAAATTCTTAGTGTCCAAAATGTGAAAACATGGAACTAGAACCAGTCAGATTGGAAGGAATATGGTTTTATTTGTTCTCAGTATACCTTGGACATCAGGTGAATCATAATTAAACGTATTGAGAAGTTAAAAACAACAGACACATTTTTTTTTATCAGAAATGTTTCATCAGCATATTGAGCTCATGTGATTCCTGCTCCAGAAAGGTGAAGGTCTCTGGACATCCTGAAGGTAAACACCGACCAGCAGTCAGGAAGACGGACTCTGATGAGATCCTACAACCCAAAGGCTGCAGAAGAACCACGATGGTCTGCGGCGGCAGTTTACCAACATGAAAACACATTGAAATATATTATGAATTAATTCTGATATTTGTAAGTTATTTGCAACACCCTGACTGACATTAGCTCATGTATATTCGGCACTATTACAAGTTTTATCGTAGTTTAATACAAAAATCATCGTTAGCTTACCTGAACCGTCTGAGCCACCTGCTTTCCTGCCGCTGCAAGGCGGAGATCAGCTCCTCCTCACCACATCGCAGCTTTCCTCCCACTGTCACATTTTCTTTTAGTCTCAGAAAAATCGCAATCAGGCTATAAAAAAATAGCTCAGCTCTCTCTTCTTCTTTTGTATCAGAAAAACAACAACTCGCGTTAGGTCGCATGTAACGAAGCACAGCACGTAGCTCCTGGAGGCGGGGCGCTACACCCCCCCGCCACCAGGAGGCGGTACCCTGCAACAGAGCCAAGTGGGCCGGTGGAAACGCGGTCACTCCGAAACAGAGCCGAGCCGAGCCGGGTTGTTGAAGTAGAGCCGGTGGAAAAGGGGCATTAGACGTCTCCCTGGTCCGACACACTTGAATCCAACAGCTGAATCACCCTTTAAGTGCAGTCAGGTTCTCCAGAGTCCTGCTAACGACCTCATTATTTGACTCAGGTGTGTTGAAGTTGAGACGCATCTAAAAGTTGCAGAAGTCCGACCCTCGAGGCTTGGAGTTGCCCACCCCTGTTCTAAACCCACCATCCCACAGTGAAACATGGTGATGGCAGCATCATGTTGGGGGGAAATGAGAGGGAGGGAAATGCAGAGCTGGACTGAAGCTGAGCTACACTGGAATAGTTTATATCAAATCATATTCATGTGTTAAAATGGTTTAGTCAAAGTCCACTTTAGCCCTAAATCAAAATTTGAATACAGATGTTCCTAAAACCTCGTAAGTAAATCTGAACATGAGCCGTTTTTATTTTGATATATATATATATATTCCTAACAAAATCACTCGCTTCTTTGTAGTGGTCTACCACATAAAATACTCATGTTTTTAGCTGTAAAACATGACAAAAAAAACAAAAAGATGTTTTGCAATTTAACTCAGATTTTATGAATAGGATGGCAAAGTAATCTATAACCATAGATCGGCAGTTCATATTCGCCAAATTCAGAAAACAGTAAGGTAAGGTAAGGTAATTTTATTTGTATAGTACATTTTCAGCAACAAGGCAATTCAAAGTGCTTTACTTGTATTTAGTAAAAGCTGAGGATTGTCTAGTTAACTGTAGAGGCGATGCTGTGCGAAGAATACAGACTTATTGGGAGTGAGGAGGCTTGGACAAGACGAAGTGTTCTGGATAAGCAGTCCCAACACGCACCATGACCACCTCTCCATGTCTAAAGTTAACATGGCGAGACGGCAGGAAGTCACAGTATTTGTGTGTGTGAGTGTCTGTATGTGGTGGGGGGATGGGCAGATGTTTTTCTTTTTCTCTCCATTTGCTCCAGAAGGTAGCATAACTCCCAATTCCTGTCTGTCAGGATCTTATTCACCAGATTGAGCTTCATACTAGCAACCAAGTTACAGATTCTATTTTCTAATACTGTACACACCAAGACAGTAAGGCCTCAAAGGAAAGCAAAGTGAATGACTACTCTACTTATGGCTCTGTGTTTATGCTCTCTGCCCAAAGCCATGATTTAGCATCGGAGGGAAACCCTGACAACTGCTGGAAGCGACTGCTGAAACCGAAGAGTGTGTTACCTCCAGATTTATGTTGTCTTTGAACTGACATATTAGAAGTGAAAAGCCTAAACCTGAAAGTTCTCAATGGGTACTGAAGGCAACGGCAAACATAAAACAGCGACCTAATAATGTCAGCTGCTGGTTGCGTTCTGGGTGTAAAGGAGCAGTGCTAGTATTGAACAAAAACCCTCCTGGCATAATGACGAAAATAAATATAATGGATAAAATGTGACATGTGATCCCAGCCCTGCGGCTTAAAGAATGTGATTTATGATAAACAGCATGCCCAACTTCTAACTCATCAAAATGCATTAAGAAAAGGAAAAGAAACATATATAAGTTGTTTTTGACCAAGCCAGCTATGGAAAATGGGGGCGACTTATAGTCCAGGAAATACAGAAATTCAAGATCCAACTCTATGCTGCGCGTTTCATTGGAAAAACGGAGATTATAATTTATGATCTACTGAATCTGATTGGATCAGACTGAGTTCAAATTGCATGGGATAAAGTAGATTTGAAAGAACAAACCTGGATTAAATGGGATTGTTTCATCATGGTGTAGCAAATGATTTATTATCATCAGTGGAAAAGCAATAATAATAAACTCTGATAACGGTGTTTGCAAACATTAAAAATTGACAGCACACTCTGAATTACTGTTGCTGCTTCTAATGCAGAATCAACAAATGCCAATACATTTGAAAATATGCCTGAATGTACTTACTGTGTGTTGTACTGATTAATGTAATAGGCATATGAAGTAATGCTTCATAGTTCAATTTTTAGGTCAATATTTGTGTTTCGCTGCATTAACAGATGTATTGCCAGAAAGACTTAAATTAAATGCAAAATGCATGTAGCACTTTGAGGAGTCCAACTAAATGGTAAATAATAATAAATATAATTGAGAAAGAATTGAGAAAGAATGAATAATTGAGAAAGAATGAATATAATTGAGAAAGAATTGGTAAATACCACCAGAGTCAGAGTGATTAAAAAAAGCATGAAAATTAATCCTATGTTTATGTATCAGTTACCAACAGGGTTGGATAATTTCATTATGTTTAAATCAGACGGCAGAGCTAGAGACATGATTTGATTAAACCTCTGGTTAATTGCATAAAAGGAGAACAAAGATGGCCACCACTACGCATTAATGAGTGAACAAACAAAAGTTTCTTTCATGACAACATTGCCTTGGAGAGTCAAAAGAATGAATTAACTTTAAATGAGTTAATTTCTTTTATATTCAGAAGACAGCTGAGTGCTCTGCTGTTTCTCATTTTAGTGGGGAAATATGTCCGATTCTTGTAAATTGAAATCTATTCGGAGTAAATTAGCTGATTAACTCAAACACATTCAGATGTTTAAAGAGATGCTATAGGAAGTTGTGAACGTGAGGCAAAATGCAGCAGTATTCTGCATCTTCTACCTTGATGGTGACGCTGCGGCCGGTGCTGTTATCGTGCATGAAGACACGCAGCATGTGTGGGATGAGCTGAGGCAGGTAGAGCTTGAACTCTCCGCCCAGCGCCACCACGATTTGCTCGATGAGGAGGATGATGGTGTTCTGCATGGGGTTGTTTGGTGTCCAGTACTCCTGCAGAGCAAAACCAAAATACAGCATAACAGTGTTAATTAGAAGTCAATCATATGCACGTCTCTGTTTTTTGTTTTTTTTTTAAGTACACAACAAAGAACCAGAACAATGATTGTGGTAAATGAAACATGTGCTGTCTTTGTCTTTAAACAGATTTACCTTTGGCTGTGGCTCTTCTTTTGAACATGGTGGGTCTGTTTGTTTTCCATTAATCTAATACACTTGGAAATTATTTGCCATGCAGAAAACTGTTTCTCATCAAAACAGTGACTACACTGATATGATTTTGAACACAATAGTGTTTAATAAATACAATATGGGCAGAAAACAGGGGAAGTTTCACCTTTTTTAAATATTTTATCTTCATCTCTATTAGGGCCGAAACTACTAATAGGCTTAACCTTGATTAAGTGATTATTTAAATAATTGTAAATTAATTTAGTAATCAATTAATTAACTCTACAATACAGACTCAAAAAGGCCATTTGATGAAACAACACAGTAAGAGTAGTAATTCAGCCAAAATGATACAAAAACAAACATTTAAGATAAGAAATAAAACTTTGTAAATATGCTTTACCAAAAACTCTTCTAGTGGCATAGTTTAACTTCACCTGCTTCAAATTCTGTTTTAAAAATGAAATTTGTTCCTTTGCATATTTTGATGCATTTCTAACATTGCATAAAAAAGGCTTAAATGGCAAATCTGCAGAATGTGCCAATTCTTAAAATCGTAATGTTATGCATAAAACTACCGTTCCCTGAAGGAGAGGAATGAGGTACAACACAGAGTATGGGATATCATGCCCCTGCGTGGCCTAACTGAAGACACCGTTAATCACGCCTTTAGGCAAATGACTTGTGATGACAGGTGGCAGGTCCCTCCTGCATATAAATACACCTCCATCACAGTCATTATTCAGTTCGATGGCCGCTCTTCACCGAGCCAAGCTGAACAGCGGGGCAGTAAAAGGTGTTGTACCTCGTTCCTCTCCTTCAGGAAACAGTAGTTATATGCATAAACGTTCCCTTTCAGTCGATTCACTCGGTACAACACAGAGTATGGGACATATACACACGCCCATGGAGCAGCCATCAAACCTGAGACAAATACACTGAGTTAGTTTGAAACCTCCAATCCAACCCAGTAGAAAGAAAAGAGTGAGCCACAAAAGGGACTGTCACATCCAGACGATAAAACCAAACAAAAGTGTGTGGTGAAGACCAGCTGGCTGCAGCACAGGGACCCCTCTGAAAAGGGCCCAGGATGCCGCTACACCCCTTTTTGAATGTGCTTTCACACCATGAGGTAAGGGGAGGCCCTTGCTGTTGTAAGCAAGAGAAATAGCCTCCACGACCCAATGAGAGAGTCTCTGTCGGGACAGAGCCTTGCCTCTAGCTGGATTGGCAAAACATACAAACAGCTGATCACACAGTCGCACATTCTGAGTGCGATTGATGTAAAGACGCAGTGCACATACTGGGCACAGCAAATGCAGCCTTCCTTGCTCTTCAGAAGCAAAAGGAGGGGGATAAAACTAGAAAGTTCAATGGTCATTGTGCTGTAATCCGAAGGAATCACCTTAGGGAGTTACGCAGCATTTGGTCTTAAGGTGACCTTTAAACCATCAGCTGAAAACTGAACACAAGAAGGGTGCACCGAAAGTGCATGCAGGTCCCCAACCTGTTATGTAGTCGCCAAAGCAAGAAACAGAGCTGTCTTGTATGATAGAAATTTCAAATCAACCAACTCAAGGTGCTCAAGTGGAGTGCTACAAAGAGCATTCAAGACTACAGTGAGATTCCAGGAAGGAACATTAGATTTTATCCCTGGTCTCAGTCTACAGACCCCTTTTAAGAAACGCACAGCTAGAGTATGAGCACCTGATGTCCCTTCATCAAGGCCAACATGACAAGCAAAGATGGAAGCCAAATAAACTTTAATTGTGGAGAAAGACAGACCTTTATCCACCAGCTCCTGTAGGAATGTCAAAACATCCACAATGGAGCACTGGAAGGGGGAAATGTTTTTGCTGTGACACCACTGTTCAAAACACGCCACTTATAAGCCTATAAACCCCAAGTGGAAGCTGCTCTGGAACTCTGAATGGTTGCAACCACATCTAAAGGAAAGCCTCTAGCTAACAAGCTGGATCTCTCAGCAGGTAGGCATGCAACATCCACAATTCTGGGTGTGGATGAAATACTTCTCCCCCTGCCTGTGAGAGGAGATCCCGGCGGGCGGGGGGGTTTTCAAGGCTTCGCTACCAGCAAGCTGATTATTTCCATATACCATGACTTTGCTGGCCACCGAGGGGCCACCAGAATCAAGGACAGGCCCCATCTGCGTAGTCTCTCCAGCACTGGCAGAATCATTTCCACTGGGGGAAATGCATACAGAAGCAATTTGGACCATGGGTGAGCTAGGGCATCCACTCCCAGTGGAGCTCTGTGATCCATTATGGAAAAGAATAGGGGACAGTGGGTGTTAGCTTTGGTGGCAGAGTTCCACTGAAGCTTTGCTGAACCGTTGCCAAATCTACACAACCACGGATGGATGCCCACTCCCTCACCAGTGGGCCTCCCCTGGACAGCAGATCTGCCTCCAAATTCAGGTGGCTATTAGGAGGTATCTGAGTTCCTAGCTTGGACAAGCACATAGCTTGATAAGTTCGAAGCATGGTGGCCGAGCTCAGGGCACGAGCAGTGGTTGCTTGAGTGCGATAGGTCTTCTCCAACTGGGTTGCAAAAAACCTGCATTGTTTTGAGGGCAGGGTGGCAGAGCCGCCCACACCCTGGTTGTATGATGGCGCCAGGTAAGCTGCCAAGGACGCCTCCACTAGTGGTAAATTAACCAGACCCGCTTTGTCGGCACCCTCCAGGTCCACATACTGCCCGTAGCCAGGCACTGTAACACGTGTGGGCAACGGTTTGTTCCAGGACGATGTTAGCTCCGAGACAAAATCTGGGTACACGGGCAGGTGGTTTTTAACCGCAGCCGGCTCCGTCGGAAGGTAGAATCCAGTGAACTGGGACACCTTTTGAGGAGCAGGAGGAGGGGTGGGCCACTCGACATCTAACTTATTAGCTGCACGCCGGCAAAGGGAAAAGATGATACGTCGTCCTGACCCACCGGAGAGGCGGTGGCAGCAGACAGACACTGGACCGTGGAAAAGTCGTCGTCATCATCTTACAAAAGACTTTGACCTACCAGGCCGATGTCTAGCACCGTTTTGGCTAACCCCTCCACATACTCCATATGGTCTGACCAGCTGGAAGCGGGGGCTGCCCAGCTGGAAGTGGAAGCTTTGGCCCCGTCGTCCTCATCAGACTTGGACGAAAACGGATTTCTAGACTTGGAGAGCATGGGGTCTTGTGAAACGGTAGCCTCTCCCAGCACTTTCTGCACAAACTTGACCCGCCGTTCAAGCGTGGATTGCCGAAGCTGGCTACAAAAAGCACAAGCGTCCGGCTACGACAATGCTCTTTTGGCGTGGACAATTCCAAGGCAGACGGGGCATGCTTCGTGCTGGTCTTTTTCGTGAAGCTGCACTCCTGAGGACAGGGGCGAATGGAAGATTTCCGCTTCGCCATTTTTTGCTTCGTGCTCATCCCGAACCACAAAACCAAAGAGAATAAAAATAGACAAATGAGAAAATACAACTAGCTCTCAGCGGCCAGACACACTAACCAGCAGGCAGCAGTAGCTAATACCAACAGGAGCAGTTAAGCTAGTTGGAAAAATAAGAGCGATGCTAGCTAGCAGCAGCTAGAAAGCACCGGTTGGAAATTTGTTCTCAGCGAGGTGAAGAGCGTAGGAACTGAATAATGACTGTGATGGGGGCGTATTTATATGCAGGCAGGGTCTGCCACCCGTCATCACATGTCATTTGCCTAAAGGCGTGATTAAAGGTGTCTTCAGTTAGGCCACACGGGGGCGTGATATCCCATACTCTATGTGTACTACCGAGTGAATCAACTGAAAGGGAACTGATTATCAGAATAATCAATATGTGCAGTTCTAATCTCTGAAAATCTATTGCTCATATGTTTAAAATAAAATGTGATTCAATCATTTTTTCTTCATTTATTATTCGTGAACTGATGTTATTTTCACTTTATGAAGACATATGCATTAAATCACTGAGTACACTCCATTTAAGAAAGTACAGAAATGGGTCAGGATGTGTTTCCATCTATAATCTGAATGTGAGAGAAATGTATGGACTATATTTTCTCTGGAAACCCTGAATTTCCAGATGTCAGAAGCAAAGAGGAAGATGAGATGGCAGAAGAAAGGAGACAGTTTCCTGTCAGGTGGAACCGATATTGTGTCTCTTGTCTGTCTGTCTGTCTGTGATACTGTGTTGGAAAACAAAGGCACGGCCGTGCAGTATGATCAAAATAAAAATAATAAAAAATAAAAAGACCAACTGTTAAAGTGGAAGGCTTGAAGTCACAAAATCAGTCACTCGGTGGGTTTCATCTGTGGTGAAGTTAAACAACCCCCTTTCCTGCCCTGCCTGCCCATGGCAGTACATATTGAATAGCTAGAGCAGCCCCCTCATCTGGATGCAGAAGCAGAACTGCAACAATAATGAATAGATCCTTTGTTTCACTTGCCCTTTATTAACTGGTTGATAAAGCGGTGTACTTCTCTCCATTACTCTTCATCACAAGGAGTTACCATCACCCAGGAGGTTCGTTTACAGGGTTAGCGAACCTCCTGGGTTTGATAACCCTGTAAGCGAACCTGGGTTAGTGAACCCTGATTCAGAATGAGAATCAGATTGTATCCTGACTTTGATACAATGTCCTTGTATCAGAATCAGGAGAAGTCTTTTTCTTTCCATATGATTTATGTGAATACAAGTGTATTTGTAAAGTGTGGAGGGGGGACATAGGCTTTAACAGTCACTCTGCATCACATGATGGGCTGAAAGCCACAAACTATCTGCGGTTACAGCTTTAGTAAGATTGGGTCCAAAGGAGGGAGGCAAACTTTGGAGACAGAATAAGTGCTAAAACATTTCTATCTGAACACTAAGGTGGACTGAGTATGAATCTAAATGCAAAAGCTCAAATTCTTCAATGCTGGTTATGTTCATCACCCAATGTGCTGAAATCCTTTTAATGAATGAATAATGAATGCAGTTAATAGCTTACAGCTGTTTGCCTGACTCACTGGAAAAACAAGGATTACATAACGGAGAAGGAAGATGAAGAAAGCTGACAGAGCTACTCACTCTGATCAGGGTGAAGATGTCATCCATGTATGGCCGGATGTGAATCTTCACAAAGGACACAACCATTCCCATCTGCTGGAAGAGGAACTGCAGGAGAAGAGAGTAAAACATTACACCTGATCAGATAGAAAGAGAAAAAAAAGTGTTTTTAACTATCCGATCTTCCGCTTACCTCTCGGATGCTGGCGTCGCAAACGCGGATGACGTTGAGGAACGTGGGCATGACCTGTGGCAGGAACTGGACGCACTTGAGGCCCAGCGACTTGAAGATGAAGGTGACGGCCTGAACAACCATGGTGTGGTGGTTGGACAGCGAGGGGTCTCTGAGGATCCGCATCAAAGTGACGATGGCCACCGCCGGGTAGAACTCGTCCAGGGGCAGGTTGCCCATGTTCACCAGCATTTCACTGGTGCTGTAGTCCGCTGGAGGAACAGAGCAATCGAGAGACTCAGGCTCCGGCAACTAATCAAGAGCTTAGATTTATGGCCCGAGCCTCAAGTAAATAATTCTGGCCAGAATTTAGGGTCAGGTTGGAGCTCATGCTTCTGTGGCTTGTTTAATAAGCCTGCAATCCATCCAGCACAGAGAAAACCAAACAGAAGTTAAGGTAGTCCTTAACTTAACTTCTGTTAAGATAACTTAACAGAAGTTAAGTTAACTTCTGTTAAGTTAAGTTAACAGGAGTTAAGTTAAATTAACTTAACTTAACAGGAGTTAAGGTATCTAGCTAGATAACTAGCCCTCTTTTTTATAGTCTAAAAAGAGGGCTAAATAGTTCAACCTGTTCAGAAAATAAAGTAAGTAAGCAGGGTGCAGAAGTGAATCAGACAGTACCAACACAGCGCAGGTGGCTCTGCCCTGACCCGCTGCACCTGCAGCAGAGATCAGATCCCACTAATCACACATCCCAGATGATTTGACCTTTTCTCATCGTGCGGTTACAACAAGCAACAAAATGGAGCTAGAAGATGTTAAAATAGAAATGGGACGAAAGCGGTAAATTCTTAATTGAAATGGTATGTTGGATTTACTTTGGGCTCATGGCTTTAATTACAGTTAATTAATTGAGTTGGATCAGGTTAAGACACAATGCCTATGGGCTCAGGTCAGGATGTGTTTTTTACGCCCGATTTAAACTCTACAATTAATAGACATATCCCAAAATATTAGAATATTACCAAATGATAAATTCCACCAATGATCTCGTTGTGCTTCCATCATTCAGTGATGTCATATTTCTTGAGATAACTGAATGTATCCATTTTTTTTGGTCTCATAAAAACAGATCATCATTGTTCAGAAATATCTTCAGACTATCACAGTTTTACAAGACTTCTTAGAGTTATATTCTACAGTACATCTCTGTCTCTGGACACTTTCAGTCAAAATAAAGTAGCTTTTCTATTCACCATTTTATTATTCCAAACTTAAGCCAATAAAAACAAACAGATGTCTAAAGATGCTTAAATATCTCAGCTCACTAAGAAGACACAGACCACCCTAGAAAGGGAACAGTGTTGTAATAATTTAGCTTTCAGCTAGATAGGAAAAATGAATTGTTCCAACACACATAAAACAGCCCTGTGACCCAGCAAGAAGGCAGCATTTCATTGCTTTTATGATTCTTGTGTCCCGTTTTGATGTGAAAAGTGTAATTTGAAGTCAGGTGTTGCAACGAATATATCCAGGCTCTTCTCGCATTCAGAAGTGAGCTATCGTGCCCCAGACGGTGACCCTGACAAGCCCGCCAAGAGATATACAACCTCCAGTTCTGGTCTCAGTCCATTTAGTTCAAGAACAAACTGGGAAAACCATTACTGTGCAGTCCAAGGTCATACTTGGAGTGGATGAGAGAAGAGGAGGCCTGGTCTGGTTTCGAATGGCAAAAAGACAGATGGGACGTTTTTACTGTTGATACCGTGAATTTTCATGATATCATACATGATGGGCTTTTCGTGAAAGCAGAAAATTTCCAGTCAAATCCTCTGGAAGAATCATGAGAAGTTTGGCTGTTATTTACAAGCTAAACCAGTCTAACCAGTTTCTGCAGTTAGAAATTTATTCCACACAGATTGATGTAAAGAGTAGTAGAGCCTGTTGGAGGCCATGCTTGCTTAGTTACACCATCAAACAATAACGGCACATTACCCTGCAAATCTATTTATACTCCGTTTTTCACACTGTTTTATCACAACCATAAACTTCATTGGATTTTATTTAAATTTTTCATGACCTGATGATGGATGACTTTCAAAATCTCCTAAAAAGTTGACACCAGAAGCTAAATCAGATTAAATGTCTGATTTAGCTGATTGCAGTTGTACCATGCAGTTGACATTTTTTAATAATTGATGAAACAGTCCTCCATGACACATTTAAAGCTTTTTATGTTGCTTTCCAACCCACTAAACGTCTCTATAACTTTCCCACTGACCTTTCTTGGCATTCATGATACTGTTTGTGCTTTAATGCAGTGGTCCCCAACCCCCGGTCCCAGTGGCACAAAAAGTGGG